CCGGTATCTGCGTCTTATCTCCGAGCGCAACCCAAACAATGCCACCAGGATATTAATGTTTGCCTGGCCTTGCTGAATTCCCTTACTCTTCCACTTGGCTTACTGGGGCTGCGGAAAAGGACCGGTTTCGATGATAAACAGCTGTAATGAGCCGCTCGCTCTTTCCTCTGGGAATCGGCTCTTTCGTTCATTCGGGGTTTCTCCGCTGTCCGGTGTCCTTTCCGGGGACGTGGGGGCTCTGCCGCTGTTGCTAATGAGAGGTTTTGAGAGTAGATGGTCCGTCTCTTCACTGTGCAACGGCCTTGCAGGTGACCGCCTCGTGCCAAGACGGGTGCTGTTCTAGACGAGTCCCCAGCAACTTCACGCAGGGCTTCTGGCAGATGTTATATGCACCCACCCTCCCCTTGAATCCTAGAGGTCCAGCCCTTTGGCTCAGCTCTGGGGTAGGGAAACCCTGCCGTGCCACCGGGCCCTGCAGCCCGGGCTCCGAGAAGGACGATGCTCTGGTGTGACAGGGGCCGTCGGTGGGGGGGTTTTCAGCGGTTTGGCCTTTGGGGGACAACTGTTTCTGCTTTTTCTCTCCCTAAGCTGATGACCAAGCACCCTGCCAAGCGCCTGGGATGCGGCCCCGAGGGGGAGCGGGACATCAAGGAGCACGCCTTCTTCCGGTACATCGACTGGGAGAAACTCGAGCGCAAGGAGATCCAGCCTCCGTTCAAGCCCAAGGCTGTAAGTCTGGCTGTGCAACGCACGGTCCCCTCTCTCGCTCTCCTACCCCCATGCACACTTCCTTCTCGTGTGCAATTTCTCTCTTTCTGTCTCTTTCTTTCTCGCACGCACGCACGCAGACGGAGGTGCTGCTCTCCTCACCTACAGAATAAACGTATTGCCTTTCTGCGATTGCTTTAGAGGATCATGCACCCACCTGGCCCATGTCTGACGGGGCTCCTGACAGTGATTCATTCTGCCTCTCAGGGCCCCGCTCTCGTGTCTGTGGCTAGAAATGCCACGTGGCTAGACGGAGGATTTTATTGCAGTGCAATACTTGTCTGTTCCTGATCCCACAAAAGAGGAGAGACTGTGGTACGGTCTCTGGGTTGGTCTAAACTGCTCTTCAACATTTGGCTCAGCAAACGACTCAAAGCCAGAATAGCTAATGAAGCAGTATTTCGCTCACTGCCTTGTGCCCAAGGTAACTCCAGGAAGGCTGGAGCCTGAATGGTCTGTGCAGTAGTTTGCACTTGAGAGGAGTGCTTGCAGGGGGGAGAAGTTGGGTTTCCTGCACTGCATCTGGATATCATCACAGGGGACCGTGCAGGTTGCAGGGGCGTGAGATGTAGCGCGTGATGTTGCAGGGGCGTGGGATGCAATGTGCAGGGGCGTGGGATGCAGTGCGTGATGTTGCAGGGGCGTGGGATGCAACACGTGATGTTGCAGGGGCATGGGACGCAACGTCCAGGGGCGTGGGATGCAGCGCGCGATGTTGCAGGGGCATGGGATGCAGTGCGCGATGTTGCAGGGGCTTGGGATGCAGCGTGCGATGTTGCTGTGCATGAGGAAGACGATGCTAGGGGTTGGATTGAAGAAGGTGTATCGGTCTGCAGGCCACGGAGCTGCTGTCTGGTACGGGGGGCACTTAGGTGGGCAGCCCTCTTGTTGGTGTGGTGGGACAACCTGGGCAGCGGCATCCTGATCCGTGTCTCTTGTGTATGATGAGCGCAGTAGCATTGCCACAGGGAGACGGATCGGGGGTGGGAAGTCCTCGCCATCTCCGTCTGCAAGGACCTGGCTACGGCGGATCTTGGACCATCTCTGTCGTGCCGAGAAGCCCGCAGGGTAACCGAGCTGTGATGGTCTGCACGTGGTGGCCTCGAGACGCTGGCTGCTCTCCGTGCCTGCATCTCTGCTGCTCTGCTCCCACCTGCCGTTCCCCGGGTCAGGTGCATGATCCCATAACCCCAGAGCCGCGGCAGATCGTGTGACTGGCGTTTCTATTTAGCAAACGTGTGTTGAGCTGGGAGGGAGCCCTCCTGTTCGCCTAGCCCATTGCTCTGCATTGCACCTGTGCCTGGGGCAGGGACACTTGTATCCGGGTCTCTCTAGTGCACTCCTCCTCACCATTGCAGTTTTAAGGACTTTTCTCCCATTTGACCCAGTCTTTCCCCGGTGCTGTGCAACTCGGACTGACTTTCTCCCCCAGCTAAGGATGTGGGCACCGGCACAATTGCTAGGGAGTCATTTACTTGTGATTTCCTCTGCAAGCAGCTTGCCCAAGGGAGGCGCTGGCCCTGCTCCGAGCCACCAGCTGGACTGCCTGGAGCAAAGGGGTGTCCCGGGATGGAGCTGACCAGGGAGCGGACACACAGCTGGGACAGCAGGGTAGCGCTTTGGGAGGGTGGCTTTACCCTCAGGGGAGGGTCTTACCTTGGAGCAAGGCTGGATGATGTGCGTCTGCTCCTCTCTTTCCCCAGAATAGTCAGGGTACGATGGAGCAAGTGCGTCATGTGTCTGCGTGCTTGCTCCTTGAGATGCTCCTCTGATGTGCAGAGCAAATGGATCACATGCCCCTAGGAGCCCAGGGACTTGCTTTTCTAAACACTTATGTAGCCGGACACCCCATCTCTAGCAGCCCCGTCCTTTGTAGAGCCCCTCACTTGGCAGCTCAGAAGTGGAGGCATCCTTCTCCAGGCAGGGCCACTTAGCACCCCCTACCCAAGCCATCCCGCACACCCCATTTGCCCCCTTTGCACTTTTCATACAGCATTTACTCTGGTTACGGCACGGGAGGAGACCCAGGAGAGGTGGGTTCAGTTCCCAGCTCTGCTGCTGACTCTCTGCAGGGATCGTGGGCCCATCTCCGCTCTGGGATTAGGATAAGTGCCCCTGTGCTCACTTGGTCCGTGTCCCCCATTAGCACAGGGGCTCTAGATCTCGCAAGTACTGGGGAAGCCACTAGCTTCGACTTCCTTATTACTCCATGAGCACGGCACATTTATAGGTGTAGCTGGGAATTGGGGGATGCTGTCCTGGGAAAGGGCACCTGTCTCTGCGGCATACGACCTTGGAGCTGCCTCTTGGCTGCGTTAGCAGAAAGCGCGCTGTCCTGTCCCCAGATCCAGGGGAAACGCTGCGGCTCCAGGGGCCCATTTCCTCTGCAGTACAGTCTGCCTTTGTGCTCACTTTCTAACCAGAGCTTTTGCTTCGTCTCGCTGACCGTGTCCCCTTTCCTTCCTGCACCACGTGTCCCGCTGCTCCTCCTGCCGCTTGTTGCAGCGCGTCGTTTTCACCGTTTGAGTATCCTGGTAGCGATACTTTCTCAATCTGAAAAAAAAAAGGTGCAAATTTGGGCTTGCTTTTAAATGCCTTCTTTCCTTTCAATCCTTTTGGATCGCGGACCTTGGAACGGACAATGGTAAGCGACCGTCGGTTGTTTCTCACCTAACAGCTGGCCGCAGGACGTCGCCGAGTCTTTGATAGGATAGGGAGATTAGTATAAAGGGAGGTACAGTAGATTTGGGATTAGGCAGGATTAAGAAGGCTCAGGTACCTGCTGATAGCTGTTATTTCAACAGTCATGCATCTGTGTTGAAAAATATTATTGCTTTAATGCCATCTGTAGAAGCAGATCGAAGGAGCAGAGGAAACCGGTGCTATCTGGTTCTCGAATACCCTTTCGCAGGGTGTGGAAAATTTGCACTCTCTTTGGGCGGCTCGGGAGGGAAGGTCTTGCTGGTCACCTCTACAGCTCCCCCGGCATCGAAGGCTTTTAGCGGCCGTCGGAATGGGCTCCTGCCAAAAGGTGCCTGCAACGCCAGCGTGCGCTAGTCTGGCTGGCTTTCACCTATAGAAAAATCGTTTTCTTTCAAATTGACCTTTTTAAAATGATAGAAAGGCAACAGCCTGTAGGGATTTCCGTGCAAGGGTCACAGCTGTGACGCTCTCCGCGAGCGCCTGCAGGTTTGTGCACGTGCGGTGCTTTGCCGTGTTGAAATGGGGCTTGAGCGCCGGAGGTGGCCGGGACGGGCGGTGCTCGCCGTGGAGCCGTCCACGCAGGTCGGGCCACGTTGTGCTCAGCGTCACGTCCGCTCACTCAGCTGGCCGCAGCCTTGCTCAAATGCAGGCAAGACCATGGGGGCCACGTCGGTACTCGGCGTTGGCAAGTAGATGCCAGAGTTGGGAGCTAGCAAGCACCCAGGTGGCAGGACCTGGGTCTGCCAGCCCCGTGCCCATGTCACGTCGTCACCTGTGCAGACGCAGCCCGCTGCGACGCTCTCCCCTGCGCACGGTCCACGGTTTGCAGCCGTGTTGTGCCAGCCGCGGACACAGCGCCCGGGTTGAAACGAAGCCTGCGTTTGCTCTTGTCGTGCCCGGCTGCTGTAACGGGCGCACGTTCCTCCCAGACCATCACATCAGCAAAGCAATGCCCGTCTCTCGCCCGACCTGCCTGGGGCCCGTTCTGTCCCAAGAGCTGAGACTCCGTCTCTGAGCTCTCGTGGTTTGATTCCTGCTCGGTGCTTGATTAACCTTTATCACAGTGACTTGAACGAGACAGATTGGGCTCAGAGTTGTCTTTGGTATGCAAAAACCCAGCCATTTTTGACACGGAGCTGTGCTTGGCTGCTCCCAGGTTTTGTCTGCGCATAACAATTCTCTGCATGGGTCTCCACTTACCCTGGGAAGTATATTTACGCTCGTGTGCTCTCCCTGTCTCTCAGAGAGATAATTATTGTTTTTGGTGTCTAATTGCTCCTTTACTGTACAGAAAGCCTAGTGATTTCAACAGGCGCCTCGTTTTGAAAGCGCTGAAATCAAACAGCGCGGTGCTGAAGGGCTGACAACAGGAGAGTCCGCGGGTCTTTTCTTTTCAAAAAATTATCTTAATGTAATAATTGTGCAATTGCACAAATTAGACTGTATTTGAGTTGTTTGGAGTCGATAAATATTGAAATGCTGCTTGGAGCTGATTGCTTCAGCAATCACTGCTCCGCGAGCCTCGTGCTCGCCGCTCTCGCTGCTGGAGCTGGAGCTTGTGTTGCAGTGAGCCGGGTCCAGTGCTTGTGCGAGCGTGACAGGGAAAGACGTCGAGACGAGCGTGACAGCGTGCAGTGCAGAGGAGTGTGCAGGGCTGCACTTGTCGGGGTGTTTGGCCGGGTCAAATGGAGCCCACTTTATAGCCGGGACTCCTTGGTGTGGTCCAGTTTAACTCCAGTTTAACAGCAAGCTAAAAGTCCGGTTTTTGCCAGACATGCAGGCAGCGCACAGTGGAGGCAACGCCAGCTGTTCCTCTTGGTGTTTATGACCCGTTAATTTACTGGGTGTTATCCCTTGTCCCTTCTGAAGGACTGCATCTCAGCTACACAAGGGCTGTGCACGGTCCCGATTCAGCAAATACTTCAGGTACGTTGAAGTCAGCGTGATTTAAGCATGAAGTCCCCTCCTTGCCGAATGTTGGTAGCCTGCTAGCTTTTTACCTGGTGAGGATGCCACCTCGCCCGCTCTGCAGGAGTTTCCCCAGGCAGCAGCTGGGAAACCCAAGGGTCAGAGTCTCAAAGGCATCTGGAGGTCTCCGATGGATCCCCTTGGGTGCCTGGCAGCATAACGCTTGGCAAGTCTGACGGGAGTCACGTTTGCAGCTGGACCCGTGGGATGTGGCTGAAACAGCGCTAATATTGGAGCAGTTTTGCTCCCTTTGCATCGTTCCCACCTTGTCCGCATGGAAGGGTTGGTGC